TTGTTGTTTGCATAACTCAGTTACGTTTTTGAAGAAGTAACTATATAATTAATTGCCCAACATCGGTCATTATATACTATATTTTGCAGGCAGAGAGTTACAGGACTCCCTCCCAGACCACAGGCTCATACTCATAATAAGTCAGAGTTTTATAAAAAATGTTAAAAACAAAACAAGCAAACCCAAAAAAAAAAAAAAAAAAAAAAAAAAACACGTTTGCTGTTGCTCACAGTGGTCCAAGGGATCGCTCAGGGAGTTCGCTCAGACACATGAAAAATTAGAGAGAACATTGCTGGTGTGTCTGCCATCATAACTGAAACCGAGCAGTTCATGGAACTAATAAATCTCGAACAACAGTTACTTTTATTGAAACACAGGAAGATAAGGGAAATTCACAACTGACCTTGAGTTTATGCACGTATCGCCAGAGCTAATAAAATGAGACACAAAGGCATCTACACTGGCAGAATATTAGCCTCTGCACAGAATGTAATTACATTCTATTACATCTTGTTTCCCTGTGGTATAATCCATGTGCTAATCAATAAACAGATATTGACATCTGCGTAATATGTAGTTACATTTCTGGGAATGTGCGGGTCAGGCTATGACACAGATTTAATGGAGCACTTTGAATCATAACAAATAACGGCCTCGTGTATGATCTTTCATGTGTTTTATTCTCTAATATTTGAGCCATACACGGGTTAGCTATGTAACCTTATCAGTGTATCCTGCCGGCTGCTTATGCAAATGAGTGGTGACCTAAATGCAGACTGTTTCCTCACCTACTGCTACAGACTAGTGAAGGTGAAACTTACCGTCTATGCTACGGAAGTCAAGGAGGTAGGTTCTGCTGTCCACTGTGTACAGTTGAAGGCTCATCTTGGCAAGCATCCCAGTAACAGGATTCTTCCTTCTCACACGCAGATAATATGGATTCACAACCTAGAAAATTATTGAAAGGATGAAAAATGTGTCTTTGTGATGCTTTAAAAGTACACCTGGAGCTTATTAAACTTTTAATGCAATCCAACTTCAATAACTAACAGATTATTTTTTACTACATTTTTTTTTTTTTTTTTTTTTTAAATTGTAAATATTAAGCATTTCCTCCTATATCGTGTCCCTCTTCTTCCTTACCTTCCACTCATAATCCAGCTGTTTCATTGCACGGCACACCTCGGTCATGATATCATTTGGTCTACTTTGACTGCGTATACCCAGGTGCCACTTGGCTCTCCTAACACCCTGGTGCTTGGACTTCTGAGGGTTCAGTTCATCCAGTGTGTGGCGGATACTCCTGGGAGGAGTCTCCGCCACGAGAAAAGGTACACGCTCAGGGTGAGGCTTCACTATCGCTGCACCTGATGAAGTCAGGTGTTGGTCATCTAGAAAAGAGTCAGGAGGGCTAGATGCCAAGTAGAAATCCTTGGCTTCGCTCATGATGCGACGATTGTCAATGATGAGATGGTAGGCAACAGCCAATGGATCCTGATGGTTGCGACTGTATATGCAGGCAAGCACCTCCTCCTCTGTGCACTCAAACTTCTCGCAAACCTCCTTCAGGGCCTCGTCGTCGATCATGTTGTTGCTGTAGGAGGGGTCCTCAGGGAACAAGTACTTTGGCAGATCTTTTTTGAACCACTCGTCCTCTCTGTGGCGAAGAATCATTTTGGTAGTTAAAAGATCATGAATGCAAACACCACCAACAGAACAAATTTTCTACGCAGACTGTCCCTTGCCATCATGAAATAATGTGATTTACAATCTAGACAACCAAAAACAAAACAAAAAAGACTATAGGATTTTTGACTTTGTAAATACTCCGCCAGGCTTACCGGATCTCTTTGATGGTGGCTCTTTTCATCGGGTCCACCTGCAACATGTGTTTCAGTAAGCTTATTACTGCAGGGTTCAGATACTGTGGGGTGAAGAAGATCCCATCACAGATCTTCTTAAAAAGTGTTGGCACATGATCATCATCAAAGGGAAGTGTTCCACACAACAAGGCGTAGAGAATCACCCCACTACTCCAAATATCCACCTCTGGTCCAGCATATAACCTGAGGAGGCGTAAAAAGAAAGAATCACAAAAACTATTTTTAACTAGGCTGTGTTTTCGAGTTGTGTTTCTGTCTCACTTTGAAATGTAAGTAAAGTATCATTAGAAGAAAAGAAAAAAAACAAAACAGAATTTAAAATAAGCCATTACCTTCCTGAGATGACCTCAGGAGCAGCATAGTTTGGAGAACCACAACTTGTCCTGAGGAACTCTCCATCTGACATCATGTTTGACAAACCTGCAAAAGATTTTAACTATTATATAATATGCACACTTTTCAAAACATAACTTCAATTATTTACCTCATAAACATTTAATGTTTTTAATGCAGTTTCAAACCATTCTAGTTTGGTTTTAGCTTAAAGTGCTTTATTAAGTATATACCTAACATGAAAAATACTAAAGCAGTAATGTTTCGTTTTCTGTCGACCCCCCAAAAAAGTTGATTTATAATTAGCTGTACCATTTATTTAAGATTCTCCACTTACTGCAGTTCATCCTCTCAGTAAGGAGACAATGTCTTTTTCACTGGTAGCAATGGTGAACATGAGTCATGAATTAACAGAAGAGTGACAAAAATACTTTACTAAAGATTCAAAATTATTTGGAATAACTGCAGGTTAAATAACAACCAATGCACACTAGAATAGTTTAATATTATCAAAGTCTTGAATGTAGTTCTGTATATTTGCTTAGACAAATTTAAGGAATGTATGAAGGATTTTCTGAAACATATTTTATGTTTCTGGCACACTACTGCCAGAAATGATTGATCGCTGAAATGACAAACTGTTATTAGAATATGTTTTCATGCTCACACTAAACAACCCTGGAATCTGCTCATGGATTATAAACCTATGTGGTGTGTGAGGTTTTGTAAAAATCTTTTGAGAAAGTAACTTATAACCAAGTTGTGAAATACTAGTTAATATATGATTTATTTGTCTGCCTTTCAAGTTAATGACTCTACAGAATCGGCACTTTTAACAGTGGTAAATGATCTGTTACTTGTGTTGGACTCTGACTCAACCTCTGTTCTCTTGTTATTAGACCTTAGCGCTGTGGTTGAAACAGTGGACCACAAAATACTTAAGAACAGGCTTATGAAACACTATGTCATCTCAGGTGTGTCAACAGTTGAGACCGTACTTTCCAGAAAGATCTCAATATATGCTTTAAATTATTTTCTGAGTCGTGCACTATTAAGTATGAAGTCTACAAGGGTCAGTCCCTGGCCCACTTTTATTTTCAATAATATGCAGCACCAGCGGGTTAAACTCAGCTAAAACTGAGATGTCAGTGACTGGAATGGCAAGAGTGAGTCATAAGTATGACCAGTTTTCTTTGTGTCTTGATGACTGTGTGAACCACTCTGAGGATTTGGTAAGCATCTTGTTGTTTTTTGATCAGAGCCTTTAATTTGACACTCATTAATTAGGTGAGAAAAATGGCTACAATCAGACATATGATGGCACTCAAGGACGCCAAGGTTCTAGTTCATGTCTTTGTGACATTGTGCATCATAGCAATGCTTTACTGTGAGGTTTGCCCAAGAAAATCTTTAGAGGTCTGCAGTTGGTTCATATTGCAGCACCATGGGTTTTGACTAGTTTATCTAATTATGATATTACTCCAGTGCTCAGCTCTCTTGAGGGGCTTCCTGTTCAGACAAGAGCAGATTTTAAAGTACTGCTTCTGTCTTATAAAATATTAACTAGCAGAGCACCAAGCTACCCGAGTGATCTTGTGAGACCATATGTACCTATAGGTCCACTACACTCTCAGGGGAGTGGTCTTCTGAAGGTCCCAAAGGTTAAGAAAACAACATATTTTTATATCATGCCCTAACATTATGGAAAAGCCTTCTGTCTGACATTAGACTGTCAAGTTCAACTGAGGTCTTACCCACCTGTTTTCTATTGTATGTAGTTCTTGAGGTATTATTGTCTTTTTGTTCATTTATGCTTCAGTTTTCAGGATTATGGTGTTTTAATTATTTGTTACTGTGTTTGCTTTTAGCTTTGTTTATTCTTTGCTTTGGAAAGGACTTTCTATGAAAGTGCTCTACAAATAAATATTATCATTACTATTAGGGCTGTGCGATATGACACAAAATCTCATATCCCGATATAAGATACCTATCGTCCGAAACGATATAAATCACAAAAATATATATATATTAAAAAAAAGTAAATTCTGTGAATCTCGGGCAGCTCGACGTGTGTGAAGTGTTTCCAGCTGGGCGCCATGTAGCTGGAGTCAAGTGTTTTAACCGATGCATAAAACTATACCTTTTTAGACATAAGTTGTAACGGCCTCCGTTTTCTTTGTGAGTATTTATTACACGCTGTGCTGCGGGGAAAAGCCTGTCCTAACGTTTGAGTCTTAGGTTTATTTTTTAGCACCTGACTGCTCTTTTTTGCTTCTCATCCGAAAATACTCTGCATACTCTTTCACGTGATTCAGTTTATTTTGAAAAGTCTCAACAGGATCTTGAGCTTTATTGTGAAAGGTTTATGTGGAAAATAAACAAGCGGACACGTGACGCGATGGTTTTACCGTCATTGTTGCTAAAGACAACGCATAAAAACAGGCGCTTGTCCATCCGTAGTGTGGTTATATTAAATATAAGAGAAAGAGAGAACTTTAAGAAATTAATATAGCCACTACAGTGACCATCAAAACAATGAAAAAATATTGCCGTAAACAGTTTATTTTGCGACACCACGAAACAAATGATAGCGTAAAATTAAAC